ATCTATCTATCTATCTATCTATCTATCTATCTATCTATCTATCTATCCATGGTTGTAAGTCGAGGATTACCAGTATCAGACAAACCCCAGTTGGATGCCATTGTAAAGTTAGCCACTTCCAACACACAACAGCTTCTATCTCAACCCTGGTAGGCCTCCCCACACCCCCAGGGGAAAATCGCCCCACAAATCCAGATGTCACCTCCCCATGGCTCAAAATGCAGCTTTTTGCTTAGACCCAAAGTACTTTTTTTAAAAAATTATTTCTTCCTTCCTTAAGGTCTGAGAGAAGCTCGGAGCAGTTTTGTTAAAGGTCACAGCCCACATTAGATTAATTATGATGTCTACAGCTCTCTCTGTTATGCTCTGGGTTCCTTTCGTTTGGCTTATTGAATTAGTTTAAAAAAACAAAAACAAAACCAAAACAAAACAAAACCACCGTATCCAAACTGTCACACTTAAAAGCTAATTTAAACCCCGGAGCATGAAACCCCCTCCTCGCTCCAAGCAAAGCGTTTGCCTGTATGCTGATATTCCACTCGGTTAAAGCTGTGCACCAAATGCGCTCGTCGCTCATCGTTCCAAATAATTTGCTGGCAAGTTCAGCATCTCTGTGACGGATTACTCCAAACGGAAGCAGCTGAGAGACCTTAACCACAAATGCCGGTTCTCTCCATTATAGGGCTTCCCTTTGGCAGTGAAGAAGCAATTAATGTTTTGGTTTTATTTTAAAAAAAGACACCTCTGGATACTCTGTTTTGTTCTGTTTTGTTTAATTTAAAGCCTGTGTGAGAAGACGTCTCTCGCTGGCCACTGGGCTGGCGTTTTAAACGCCTGTGTTATGAAATCCCACATAAGGATGGAGGTTAGGCAGGACGCCCCTAAAGCAAGCATCTTTCGGGCAGGAGTCTCCCACGCCTCTTTTGCAGAGTAATGAAAAATAAAGCGGACCCCATATTATGCGTTTTTAGGGGAGCCCACGGGAGAAAGAGACAGCCCAAAGCCAAACCTTTTAAGACTGATTGAGAAATTCTACCCATGTTCTCTAGTCTAATCAGTGTTGTCAAGCTGGTTTCTAAGGGAGGGCACAGAGGGAACGTAATTGTCGGAATAACAGAGTTGGAAGGAAGGGACCTCGGAGGTCATCTAGTCCAAGCAGGAGACCCTATACCATGTCGTACAAATGACTGTCCAGTCTCTTCTTGGAAACCTCCAGTGTTGGAGCATTCACAACCTCTGGTGGCCAGCTGTTCCACTGGTTAATTGTTCTCACTGTTAGGAAATTTCTCCTTGGTTCTAGGTCACTTCTCTCCTTGGTTAGTTTCAATCAGAATACAGTTGGAAGGGACCTTGGAGGTCATCCAGTCCAACCCCTTGCTCAAGCAGGAGACACTATGCCATTCCAGACAAGTGGCTGTCCAGCCTCTTCTTAGATGAAGCATCCCACAACCTCTGGTGGCCAGCTGTTCCACCGGTTGATTGTCCTCACTGTTAGGCAGTTTCTCCTTAATTCCAGGTTGCTTCTCTCCTCGATGAGTTTCCCCCCCCCACCCCACCCCCATTGCATCCTGTCCTGCCCTCTGGGGCTTTGGCGAGGAGGCTGACCTCTTCTCCTTTGAGGCAGCCCCTCAGACATTGAAAGCATATTATCATGTCACCCCTAGCAGGGGTTGGACTCAATTAGAAGTTCTTAGGTTTTGTGTGCTAGGAAGAAACCCACAGACGCCTTTCCTTCTCAGCAAAATGTATTTAAATGCATCAGATAAAAAAAATTCTTCGGATAGGCAGGCAAGCATACAAGTTGGATCAATCCATCCATCCATCAATAGACAGGAAGCTATTTATTTTCAAATAAGGTCATCAAAATATTAACAACGAACAAATATATAATCTAGTAATATCCGTGCTTCTTAATTACCCCATTAAATCAATAACAATATCCTTTTTTTAAGAGTGTAGTAATTCTGGATTGCAAATTTTATTGAAGTGAGCAAACATTTAGAGAGTCAAGGGGCCATAAATGATTTTGCTGCCTACGCAGATTATTGAATGAAAAGTTAAATCTCATTAGATGTCAGTAAAAAGTAATGTTGTAATGTTTTTCCAATCCAAGGCCACTGACTCCCTAAAATCTAGCCATGGATTTCCAGAGGTCCTGAACTCCTGATTAAAAACCTTTAGACCGGATTTGCCGTCCTTTCCAATTCTTGTTCAGCTTTTTAAATTGTTCATATTTCTCACACAGACATACAATCCAATTAATTATTCCACTTGGGGGTAAATGTGTTATGAAAATTACAGAAAAGGAATAGAATAATAATAAAAAGGTATTAATGAGATTAATATTAATCCAGTATTTGAGGGGCTTCCAGAAAGAAGGGGGGGGTTCAATTTATTTTCCAAAGCACCAGGACAAGAAACACTGGATGGAAACTCATCAAGGAGAGAAGCAGCCTGGAATTAAGGAGAAACGTCCTGAGAGTGAGAACAATTAACCAGTGGAACAGCTGGCCACTAGAAGTTGTAGTTGCTCCATCACTGGAGGCTTTTAAAAAGAGACTGGACAGCCATTTTGTCTCCTGTTAGAGCAGCGGGTTGGACTAGGTCCTTTCCAACTCTGTTATTTTGTTATCTCAAATGTTTCCACCATTCTTTTAATTTCTTAAGATCTCCCTGAATTCTGATAGTGTCCCTCAGGCTGTTTGCTATCCCCTGGATTTGAGTCCTCTGCCAATTTATTAAGGCTAATTTCCAACCCTTCCCTGAGCCAGAAATAAACGCATTGCACAGAATGGAGCTCTACAAAGTATCACTTGTTATTCCTTTCAGGCTCAATACACAATTTTGCTTCCTTCAGATTGACTTGAGAACTGGGGGGGGGGGGGGGGAGAGAAAAAAGAAACAGACTTTTTTTGTGCAAGGCAGGATTGGGCCTGCCAGGACAGATGCTGTGAGCGGCATCAAACATCTGGCTAAATCACTGCATTAGAAGCAGCTGTTTTGGTGACTGCCGGCCATGAGCCAAGTCACCAAACAAGGTGGTGTTTTCCAGAAATAAAACATATCATAAGGAAAACTAGATGGTTAAATAGGTTCTTGCTCCACCATGTTTTTGGTAGCGTACAGGTAGTCCTCAATTTACAACAGTTCATTTAGTGACCATTCAAACTTACAGCGACACTGAAAAGAGTGACTAGTGGCCATTTTGCACACTTACGACTATTACATGCAGCATCCCCATGGTCACCTGATCGATATTCAGATGCTTGACCCACTGGTTCATAGTTATGACGGTCCCCATCACATGAACACCTTTTGCGACCTTTTGATAAGTAAAATCAATGGGGAAGACAGGTTCGCTTAACAACCTTAACAACTGCAGTGATTCACTTAACAACGGTGGCAAGAAAGGTCGTGCGGTGGGGGAAAGCTCACTTAACAATTGTCTCGCTGAACAACATAAATTTGGGGCTCAATTGTGGTCGTAAATGGAGGACTGCCGGGAATACATTCCTTCCTAAGCTTTTTACTGTATTTCAGAGCTAGCACTGATTTTAGCCAGCTAGTTTTTTCTTGAGGGCCTAAATGTCGCCCTCTGGTGTCTTCACAAGGAACTTCCGCTTTGATTATTTGAATTGCTCCCAGAGGTTGGCGCTCTGTATCCTCTGGTTATGGGTTCTGTAGTTCTGACTGCAGGGCTAGGAGTTGCCCTTCCAGTACCTTGAGGGATCCCATGTTGTGGACATTTTGTGGCTCACCTTTGAGGTCCAGGTTGCGGGCCCCATTGGAGTGCTGTGTGACGGTACGCGAGTCGATCTTCAGCGTGTGGACGTTGTTCGTGTCGCGGGACACAATGACGTTGTGCCACTGGTTGTCGTTCACTGGCTTGTCTGAATTCCCCTTCATCAGCGATGGCCCGTTGCCCAGGTCGAAAACATAGTGGATGTACCTACCGGGTGACCAGGAGGAATCAGGAAAAAAAATAAAAATAAAAGAGATTCAATTCAATGCAATTGATTCTACCTTTCAGCCCAAACGAGAACACGGGCAGGTGGCTCGCGTCAGCCAGCCACGCCACACCCTCCAGAGAAAAGCAGCTGACCAAGGCGGAGAGTTTCATTCCAATTCTTCACCGAATACAAATATTTCCATCTTTAAGAATCATTTTGGCCTCCAAGGGCCTAATCTTAGCAAGGCAGGAACTTGCAATTCCCCAGACAGGAGAATGAAAAGGCCAGCCCAGCAGAGTGAAAGGCATCCTCCAAGAGCGCCGAGAGAATCCCTTAGCAGCCATTTAACTCCAAAAGGCAGGAGGAGGAAGAGGAGGAGGAGGAGGAGGAGGAGGAGGAGGGGATTAAACCAGGATGCCTGGGCCTCCATAAAGACCCCGGTGCTGGGCTGGGGACTGAGGGGCCTGGAGAGCCCAGGCGGCGGTTGGGATTCCTAAAAAGAGTGGCGGGGGGAGGGGGGGGGGGGGGGGGGGTGGAAAGAAGGACTGAGAAAGAGGGAGGGAGGGAGGGAAAGAAGGAAAAAAGCAAGGAGAAAGAGGAAGGGTAGGAAGGAAGGGGAAAAAAGGAAGGAGAAAGAGGGAGGGAGGGAAGGGAGGGAGGGAGGGAGGAGGAAGATGTTTCTTTAAAGCAGAATTTGTCATGGACCAAGAGATTTCGGGGGGGGGGGGGCTCCAATATGGGGGGGGGGGGGGGGGAAAAGAATCTTCTCCCAGAGGGCAAATGGCTGTTGTGGGGTGTGTGTGTGTGTGTGTGTGTGTGTGTGTGTGTGTGTGCAGATTAACCCCCGCGACACGGCAGAGGACGCAGACCGACCACTGACACTGCCGCGGCCATGTGCCTCGGCTGGCAGCAAGGCCGTCTAGCCTAGCCGGGCCCCAGCGGAGACTGACGGCCGATGCCAGCCGATGCCGTCCATCCGGCCGGGGAGCCTCACCCTTTGACCAGCTCCACCACGATGAAGTCGTTGCCGTTGCCGCTGTTGAAGAGGATGAGCCCGTCGGTGGCCGTGGTCTTGAACTGGAAGAAGAGGTGCATGGAGGCGTAGGCCTGCAGCGTGGCCAGCGCCAGGTAGCTGGCTTTGCTTTTGAAGGTGACCGGGTCGGCGATGATGCTGCGCAGGCCGAAGCGGGCGTTGAGCTCGCAGTAGCTGATGTCGCCGTTCTTGCAGAGGTCCATGTAGGGCATCCCGTTGAAGACCAGGCTGCTCAGGTGGCCGATGAAGTTGGAGGGCACCATGGAGATGAACCGCCGCTCCGTCATGATGCCCGTCTCAATGTTGTGGAACTCCAGGCGGGTGTGGGCGCCCGCCATCTGCCCTGCTTGGGCGAAGCAAAGGGCGGGAGGGCAAAATATTAGCCTACCAAGGCCTCGGAAGGGAGAGGTCGCGCCCAGGAAGATCCGGAACAGAGGAGAAAGCGGGAGGAGCCTGGCCAAGCCCCCTCACCATCAATCAATCCTTCGGGATAGAGCTGGCAGGGACCTCAGAGGTCTTCTAGTCCAGTCCCCTGCTCAAGCAGGAGACCCCAGACCAAGGGTTGCCAACCATTCGGCTGGGGACCACTGGTGGTCCACGAGAAAATTTTGGTGGTCCGCAGGGAAATGTCCCCCCAAAGCAATTAATCCAGGCTGTGGGGGAACACAAGGCTTGTGCTGCTTCCATTGGGAACAACACGAGGTAGTGAGGGGAGGGGGGAGAGGGCGGAGGGGGGGGAACTCACCCCACGTGCCCCACGGGCCTGGCCTGGCCACCGGGCTGCTTCTTTCCGCTTCTTTCTCCTTCTGCTTTTGGCTGCAGACAAGGAAAGCAGCAAAAGTCTTTTTTTCTCTCCCCCAAACTCCGCCAGAAATGAGTCTTTGGGACCCTGCAGGGCCTCCTGCTCCAAGAGGCTGCGCAGGCAAAGACTCGTTTCTGGCGGAGTTTGGGGGAGAGAAAGAAAGACTTCCGCAGCTTCTGCTGCTTTCCTTGCGTGAAGCCAAAAGTCTCTCTCTCTCTCCCTGAGAACGGAGCTGGAGATGGTATCCTGCGATCCCAAATAAAAAATGATCGAAATAGGGGAATTTTCCTGCAGACTTTTGGGGGGATTTTCCCAGGGTCTCTGGTCCGTGGGATTTAAAATGATGAGTTTGGTGGTCCCTGAGGTCCAAAAGGTTGGCGACCCCTGCCCTAGACCATTTCACACAGATGGCTGTCCACTTGTCCACTTGAGCTACACTTCTATTTTCAACTTAGCCTGTCCATCCCTTTGAATCCAGACTGCAATGCTATCAATCATCATCACTGCTATTAATCCTGGTCTAATTCTTGAGGGGCTGCATTTCTATGCATAAGTCAGTGACTGAATTAAATCTGTTTTCCAATTCTGCACAATCCGATAATTCATATATGGGCCTAATGGACTGAACGGAATTAAACTGAATATAGAATTAAACTGGCCAGGTGCGGACAGGCACAAAGGAATTTGTCTCTCGTGCAGGATATGTCCACAATTACACCCGTACATAGCCACAAATGGGGTGTGGGGGGGGTATGTACAGTGTGCAAGGCCACAACAGAGCCAACCAGGTTTTGCAGAATGGCAGCTGGCCCAGAATCCCAGCTGTTTGGTTTCCACGCCTGGCTGGCTTGTTCTGAATCTCCCCCTAGTGGCCAAAGTGGGGGACTGCTTAAGATTCTGGCTCAGGAAAGAAAAGGGACCCTTTTCTGAGGTTGTTTGCTGCCCTCTGGTGGCAGAAAGGAAGAATGGCAGCGCCGGCATTTTCCACTCCCAGGTGAACCCAGGTAAGAGCAGAATTTTAGTTTACTTAGTGCCCCCAAATCAGGCAGCCCCTTTTCCAGCTGCGCTTTTTATCACACGCTGAAGCATTTGTGAGCTCAGCTCACCTGATGCACAGGAGGATGGCCTTAACACAGGGGAAACACAGGTAATCCTCCTCGACTTACGGTCATAATTAAGCCCCAAATTTCAGTTGTTAAGTGAGACAAATGTTAAGTGAATTTTGCCCCATTTTACAAATTTCCCTGCCACTGTTGTTAAGTGAATCACTGCCATTATTGTTAGTGACACGGTTGTTAAGTGAATCTGGCTTCCCCATTTGACTTTGCTTGTCGGAAGGTCGCAAAAGGGGATCGCATGATCTCCCCGGGATGCTGCAGCTGTCGTAAGTATGAGTCAGTTGCCAAGCATTGGAAGTTTGATCAGGGGACCATGGGAACGCTGCAACAGTCATAAGTGTGAAACAAGTGACTTTTGTTCAGTGCTGTTGTAACTTCGAACAGTCACTAAACAAACTGTCATTACTCGAGGAGTCCTCAACTTACAACCATTCATTTAGTGACCGTTCAAAGTTAAAGCAGCACTGAAAAAAGTGACTTTAGGGCCGTTTTTCACACCGACAACCCATTGTAGCGTCCCCGGGGACAAAATGCAGACGCTTGGCAGCTGACTCATGCTTACGACAGTCGCAGCGTCCTGAGATCAGATGATCCCCACCTGTGCCCTTCCCATAGGGTCCCAACCAGCAAAGGCAACAGGAAAGGTCAGATTCACTGAAGCCTTGCCGTGATTCGCTTAACAACTGTGGCAAAAGCAGTCGTCAAATCGGGCACGACTGCCTTGCTTAGCAGCAGAAATGGGGGTTTCTCCCAATTGTGGCCGTAAGTCCAGGACTACTTGTGGTCAGGACAGTGGACAAACCAGCCCAGAAGAGCAGAATCCCTGGAAGGAGTCCAGAGAGCTGCATTATTGAGCTAAATTCAGCCAAACCCCCACCTTTCTGTAGTCTAAGGCAGGGGTCTCCAATCTTGGCCACTTTAAGACGTGTGGACTTCAACTCCCAGAATTCCTCAGCCAGCAAAGCGAAGCAAACTGAAGCGAAACGAAGCAAAGCAGGCTGAGGAATTCTGGGAGTTGAAGTCCACACATCTTAAAGTGGCCAAGGGTGGAGCCCCTTGGTCTAAGGGGTGGTGCAAACCCACAAGCTTTGTACCACAAGCATCTGTTCCACTCTGGCTTACCTTCCACGGTGACATTGTCCACGGACAGCTGCAGGTTCTTCCCACGCCGGACCACCCGGACGGTGTGCCACTCGTTGTCATTGAGTTTGTGGCCAGCAAACAGAGTTTCCGGCCCTTTACCTGTGGGCAGGATGGTGAGGGTCAGGAGCAGCGGCTTCCTGGGGCTATCGGAGAACGGCTGGATTGTCCACCCTCCCACTGACCCCCCACCCCACCCTCCCCCAATTAGGGAACGCGGCCCCCAGACAGAGAATTCCCAGCCAACAATTTCACAGCACCTTTCATCCCCTGCGGTGTATACACTCACACACACACACATACAGACACACACAGACATCCTTCAAACACGCTGTCATGCCGCAGTTGGAGTCTGACTCCTAGGGAGAGATGGAACAGCTGACAGGGAGTGGGAGGGGGGCTCCGGTGGTTGTGGAGGAAACTGGGGAAGGGCACAGGCCGGATGGGCATTCAGAGGGAGACCCAGGCCCATCCATCCCCTCTTCATCCTAGGGCACGCAGGGAGGAGCGGATAAGGGAGAAACGTGAGTGGTGTGGTCTATGGGGGAGGAAAGGGCCTTGATCCCCTTCATGGGCTGCAGCTGGGAGGATTGGTTAAAAGGACAAACTGCGCATGGCAAGGTTGCTGGAAGCAAAGCGTGCATTCTTGTTGGAGCTTATCGGTGTTTTGGCTTCCTGTGCGTTATCTGATAGAAGTCTGCAATTAATCATCCTTGCCTACCATAGTAATTTCTTCAGTGTGGTGTGTTGTTTTTTTTTATTTCGAATTAACTTTACTTTGAGTGCGGACTGCATTTGCTCCCTCCGTAAACTGTTTTCTTTAAGAGTTTGATACCCAGCAGAGAATAATTGGACATTGGGGCCAAGTTGGAGGCATTAAAGGGACCTTCTTCTATTTTTGTGACTTGGTTATTTTTGTGTCACGCCCTGGGTCATCACACACGCTGCAGACAAGCCTCAGGTTGGTGTGAATTGATGCAGCCTCCTTAATTCTTTATCAAACCTTTTGGTAAATGCACACTTTAGATGGGTGTTTCTCCTTTAAGATGGCATAGAGGTCAGGTCCCAGAATGCCCCACCCTCCAGAACCCCAAACCTAGAAACCACCACCCCCCTCTCTCTCCAAGAACCTGCCAGTTCCCCAACTCTCCTGCCTCTAAGGATTAGTGTGTGTCCAGAATTTTGCAGCCAGGCTCACCTAGCAACAGGTGTGGACAGTGGAGCATCCTTCTGTGGGCCAAGGCATACCTATCCATGTTTGGGATTTAGATTTGGATTAACAGGGTTGGAAGGGACCTTGTAGGTCATCTAGTCCAACCCCACCCTGCCCAAGCAGAAGACCCTACACCGTTTCTAACAAATGGCAGTCCAGTCTCTTCCTGAAAGCCTCTTGTGAGCCAGGCAGGCTTCCGTAGAGGGAGGATGGGGGCCTCAGTAAAAAAGGGGATTGGGGGTAGAGGGGATAGATTCTGGCCAAGACCCCTTTCTGGATCTTTCTGGACTTTTATCTTGACCCTTCAGAGCAAGTCGAGAAGATAATGAAAGGAAGCGGGTGGAGAAGCAGCAATTTCTCCTGCATGGCAGCGCCTGGGGAAAAATAGCCAAAAGTATTGGCGGGCAATCCCCAACTTCAAGGTGCTTTGCATCATGGGTCTGGGGGCAGATTGGAAGTATCCACGGAAAAAGAAAGCCCCCTCTAGACTCAGAAACCAACACGGATGTTTCTCAACTCCATTTGCACCCAATTTAGGATGCCACTGGGGCTCAGAAACAGGAAGAGCCCAAGACTCTAAGGCAGGATCAGAATTCAGAGCCTCTCAGTTTTGAGTCTGGTGCCTTAACTACTAACTCACCCTCCATACTGGGGTGAGGAACGTGTCAACTCATAAAATATTTCTATGGTCTTTTTACAGTTGCCAACAGAAAGGGAGGGGGGAGGGGTTTTTGAAAGAGCAGTGTGGCAGCTTGCAAAACCAAAACCGCATTCCATGAATGTTTTCAAAGATAGTAACTAGGTGACCGAAGTTTCTGCCGTGCAAAATTCTAACTGGAGTGCATCAATGATGGATGACTCTGGGCTACGGAGGTGTCCCATTGGAGAATATGAATCATGATACACCCAGGGGGTGCGGGGAGAAACCAGGGTCAAGGGTGACAATGAATGATGTGCCTCAGAGTCGGCTCCACTCAGGCAGTGCCGGACATGGTAACTCCCAATAAATCCTTCTGAAGTTTTGGAAGTTTGGCTCGAGACTCAGGATTTAACTGGGGGTAACTGCCGGAATCCTGACACAATGATGATAACTTTAGGACTTGTGGTCATGCTGGCTCAGGAATTCTGGGAGTTGAAGTCCACAGGTCATGAAATTGTCATAATTTCCCACCCCTGTTCTACACCAGGGGGAAGGCAAGCAGGATGAGGCCGCTTCTGTAAAAGGAGACCAGGGACTTCAGGCTGAAAGCTTCTCTTTTGGAAATGTTTTGCGGTCTGTTTCTCCACAAATCAGCGCATCAACCCGACTATGAGAAACGAGCTGTTTCAGTCCGAAGGGCCTTCCCGCAAGACCATGGGTGGTTTTAGGTTGCTCCTGCATGGGGTTTTTTTTTGTGTGGGCGGGGGGAGGGCTAGAGTTAGCAGCATGGAAGGATATATGGGTTCCCCTCCTTTCCACGGATTAAGCAAAGCAATTTTGGGCATGTTTACTGATTCCCAGCTCCCTTTGTGCCCAATGGACTTGGTGTTCCTCTAAATCCGCTTCCGATACCGTAAAGAGGGATCAAATTTTCTGGGTTGCATCCATAACCACATAATAGGGTGGGGGGGAGATTGCAAAAAGCGGGCTCACAGTTCTAATTTAGGAAGATTAGAGAAAAGGTTCCGGTGGAGGGAAAGGTTAAACGTTGGGGGCTTTTTAACCTCGCGGCCAAGGAGAGGTGCAATAGGTGCAAATTTTAAAACGTGCAAAAAGGGGGACATTTTTCTCCCGTCCTCACGGTGTTCGATCTCAGGATCATTTGTCAGAGCGAAATGAAAAAAAACTTCAGCCTTCGAAAAGAACTTTCTCCTTGGGATGTGGAACTCACGGCCACTTACAGGTCAGTGGGATCTGTCCTCGGACAGCCGCTTCCTGCCTCTGGAATCACGGGCCTTGGACCCCATCACTGCTCTGCCTCTTTGGTTTGTTCATTTTTCCCCTAATCAAGTCACTTGTTTACTAATGAATTCACCCCTATAATATGCAGGAGACTCTATCGCTTCTGAAAACCCTCCAGGGATGGAGCCCCCACAACTTCTAGTGGCCAGCAGTTCCACCGGTTAATTGTTCTCACTGTCAGGAAATTCCTCCTTAGTTCCAAGTTGCTTTTCTCCTTGGTTTGTTTCCATCCGTTGCTTCTTGCTTTGGAAAATCAATTGGCCCCCCTCCTCTTTGTGGCAGCCCCTGAAATATTGGAACAATCCTGTCCTGTGAGCCCTGGTCCTTCTGTTCTCTAGAGTGACCGTAACCAGTCGCTGCAACCGTTCTTCGTGTGTTTTTGCCTCTCTCGTCCCCTAATCACCTTTGCTGCTCTTTTCTGCACTCTTTTTAGAGTTTAAATATATTTCCATAGACTTGCCTCACTCCAACCAGCACAGACAGGGCAAGTCATTGGTTTATGCTCACTCCCTTCTAGCAGGGGTGATGTTCTCTCGTTGGGTCATGAAACTTCTGCCAGAAAACCACCAAGGATCCCACAGTCCTCCTGCTCCCTCTACTAGCACTGGTGGTATTAACAGATGAACAGATAATCAGAGTTGGAAGGGACCTTAGAGGTCATCTAGTCCAACCCCCCCCCCCCCCCCAGCAGGAGACCCTACAGCATTTCTGACAGAAGGGAGTCCAGTCTCTTCTTGAAAGCCTCCAGGGATGAAGCTCCCATAACTTCCGAAGGCAACTTCTGTCCATGAATGGATGGTTCTCCCTGTCAGGAAATTCCTCCTTAATTCCAGGTTGAATCTCTCCTTGATCAGTTTCCGTCCATTATTATTCCTTGTCTGGCCTTCAGGTGCCTTGGAGAATAGCTTGACCCCCTTCCTCCTCTCTGGGGCAGCCCCTCAAATATTGGGAGGCTGCTCTCCTGTCTCCCCTGGTCCTTCTCTTCCCTGGACTAGCCAGGCCCGGTTCCTGCAACTGTTCATTGTATGTTTATATTACCTAGTTGGGTCATGAAACATCTGCAAAAAAACCACCCGGCTCAGAAAGCACCAAGGACCCCCCGGTTCTTTTTCTTTTTTCTTTTTTGTATGAACGATGGGAGACTCCACAGTTCCTTCAGGTTTTCCAGCCTCTAACCCTCTCCCCCCTCTCCTCTTTGGCCCACCTCCCTCAAAAGCTCCCCCGCCTCGTGACACAGCCACACGTGCAAACACACACACACACACACACACGCGCGCACACACACACACACACGTTTCCTCTTGCACAAGGCCCAAGCGGGGAGGGGGAGGAGGCCCCAAACTGCGAGTTTCCAAGCAAGCGAGCTGAAGAAAAGGAGGGCTTGAAAACATGGAGGCAGAGAGAGAGAGAGAGAGAGAGAGAGAGAGAGAAAGCTTCCCAAAAAGAGAGAGAGAGAGAGAGAGAAAGAGAAAAAAAACAATGAGAAGGCAACTTACTAGGGTTACAGCCTATCCTGACACAGTCTGAGACGGGGGCCCGGGGTGGGGAGGGGGAGAGAGAGAAGAGAACGAGAGAGTTTTATATCCTTCAAGGAAACATTTGTCACCAAACACCCAAAAAATACAGCAATGCAGGCCACCATCTGGGGACAGGCATGCCACGAGGGAGACGCTTGCGTTGGCACTGAGGAGGGTGCCAGGGTCCCAACTGGTCGTCTCTGGGGAACAGAGGGGCCGGGACCACCAAGACACAAACCCCAATTTGGTTGTGGCTGTTTTGGACACCGGCGCCACCAAGAGCCCTGAGGGGCAGGTTGGTTTGCCCACCTAATGCCAGTGTTTCTCAACCTATTTTAAGGCGGGTGGACTTCAACCCCCAGAATTCCCTAGGTGACGTGTGCACAAAAGAGGGCAGGGACGGTTTTTAGCAGGGTGGGTGGTGAGGTCAGCTGGGGGATTCTGGGCATTGAAGTCCACCCGCCTCAAAGTTGCCCGGGTCGAGAGACGCTGCCATGCAGCCTTCCTTACTACCTATGCCCAGTGGGCAATGCCCAAAATGTGCCCTGGGCCATTGCAAGCATTTGAAAACAGCAGGTTTTTACACAGTCCCAAATTGGGGGGGGGGGGAGAGAAACTGGCCACGATTTGTTTGGCCCATCGACGTTTGGGGCTCCCTCGGCCCAGGCAAGCAAGCGGCTCCCTCGTCACAATCAGCTGTGCAGAGAAAGGCGGGGAAACTGGGGAGCGGCAGCCTTTCCTCCCTCCCCCACCCCCAGCTCAATGCCTCCCCCCCCTCCCCCAAGACGAAGGGGCTGCCACCCCCTCCCTTTCTGCAAGCTGCACAGCTGGGCATGCCGTCAACCTCGGCAGAGCAGTGGGCGCAAGCAGCCACAGGACCGGGAAACTTCACTTCTCCCGTGGAAAGGCAGAAATTCCCAGAGGGTTTTTTTTGGGGGGGGGGGGGGGGGATGTCCTGGGAAGCAGGATGGGGAAGATTACAGGTGGGGGGGCGGGGAGAGAGCCTGAGTTCGGGTCACCGTGGCTGCTTGCTCTGGGCTGGCTGTTGATGCACCAATGAAGGGTCAAAACCCACAGCGAGGAGGGAATGGGGGGGATCCGGGGAGCAGAACCGCTCCTCTCTCTCAGCCCGGCCACCAAAATGGTGGTCAAACGGTCAGGAGAGAGGACAGCTGCCCTGCCCTGGCTGGCAAGGGGCGGGGAGGGAAGGACCCTCCTGCCCAAGAAAGAGGCTTAAACTCTGCCCCCACGTTTGACCCTCGGGGGGGGGGGGCACGCTGGCAGATGAACCTGTTCCCAAGGCTGCCTCTTCCCCCCCATCAGAGGAATCTGAGTAGATTTGGGGTGTGGGGTGTGTGTGTGGGTGGGGGTTGCATCTGAGGAAGGAAAATCCACCTGGATCGCAGCAGGATCTCAAAGTGCCGGAGAAAGAGAGCAGGAAAGGCGAGATCAAACACCTTTATTCCTGGCTGGGTTCGATTCCCTTCCCTACCATTGCGACTAACAGCGATATTTGCCGGAAAAGCAGGCAAACCCCCCCCCCTCCTTCAGGAAATCTGTGGGGTTACTCATGAGTAAAAAAAAAGTCCACCCGGACGTTATTACCAGCCCTGACTAAAAGAGCGATTCAATGATTTTGACAAGCAGTCCTTGCTTACCGACTTAGCAACCATTGGAAGGCAGGATGGTTTAAAAAACAACAACCCAGCTTTGCAACCAATCCTCACATTTATAACGGTTGCGTCCAGAGTCGGTGAGGAAGACGGCAGCAAAACTGCAAGTCGCCCCCACAGGGTGTCTTGCTTTGATAGCGATTCACTTAACAACCAGATGTCATAAGTCCAGCACAGCCCTGTATTTTTTATTTTTGTTATTTTTTTGCTTAAGGACCAGAGGGCTTAGCAATGGTAACGGAATGAGAGAATGACCTTGGATGGTGGAGGAAGGAGATGCTGCCTAAGGAACGATCAGGAAAAGAGGAGGAGGAGGAGGAGGAGGAGCCCTCAGCTGAATGAGGGGAAGGG